TACGAGAACGTGGATTCGCTGAGCGAGCTCGACATCGCTGGTACCGTGCGATGCGGATATCACACTGCTCATTGCGCGTTGCAAAATGTATTTAAACTGTACAATTGGTGGTCGCATAATCGTAAATAAACATACGCGATATGTACGCTAAAATATGATATTTATTCCTTTCCCTCCCGCCATTGCGTACTGTTTTACGTCTTATGTTCATGGTTTTTATGCACATTTTCATGTTTTCATGTTTTACGTTCACGTTTTCACGTTTTTATGTTCATGTTTTTATGTTTTACGTTCACGTTTTCACGTTTTATATTCATGTTTTTATGTTTTACGTTCACGTTTTTACGTTTTTATGTTCATGTTTTTATGTTTTACGTTCACGTTTTCACGTTTTATATTCATGTTTTTTATGTTTTACGTTCACGTTTTTACGTTTGTATGTTTATGTTTTCATGTTTTACGTTTACGTTTTCACGTTTTATATTCATGTTTTCATATTTTACGTTTTATATTCATGTTTTCATGTTTTACGTTCGCGTTTCATGTTTTATGGCAACGTTTTATGTTCATGTTTTTTTTATGTGTACGCGTTTCTTACGTTTGCCACAACGAACGCGTCGCGACACGTTTTTTTTTGTTTACATTTGGTCACGTTTGATAAAATTCCTGCGAACAGAGGGGAGGGGGGTACCCCCTCTTAACAACATTATTTAAATAATTAAGGGGAGGGGATTGATCCTATATTACGTAGCATTTTTGCGGGAGCGCGATCATTACACAGTTGGAACGACTCAGAATAGTGGTCATCAGCTCTCGCAAACAAAAAGAAACCTCCGCAAGATGGCCAATTTTTACGTTCCAATCGAGGCTGTGAGTGAGAAGCCGTAAGTATCCATTTGTGTATCTTTATCATGAAATTTTGTATAGAAATTTCTCCAGCATATAACTCATCCGTTTTCTTTTTTCTCTTTTCAGTCCATCGAGCGTACCACGCATTTTGAGAAGGCGATTGGCATTGACTCATACGTCCTACAAATGGCTGGACATCGGAATCAACGCCGGACCTTTGTCCACGATCGATCTGACGATCGGTGACAATCGCGGCAACTGCATCGTTCTGTCTCACGAAACTTGGAGAGCGCTGATGGATAGGCGCGCGGACGTCGAGCGACTCGTGCAGTCAACTCCGACATCATCGCCATCGTTATCGATCTGTGACCTGACAGTGCGACTCGTGAAAATACGCGACGACAACATCGTTGTAAAATTGGCAACGCGCGACGCTTTTATTTACATGAAGCCCGTGACCGTGCTGTTCACGCTCGAATTCGAGTATTGCGTCGAGAACATATACATCGACTTGCGGCAAACTGTAATTACCGTTGACAATCGGTACAACGCATTCGTATCTTTCCTGCGCCAGAATCG